GCTCAGAGGTTGGGATTCCACTCAGCTGCTGTTGCTAAATGAGAAGGAAAAAAGGGATAGCTAAGCAACAACTGCAGATACAACAATACTCTTCTTTGTATAACCAGCACGCAAACAATCCTTCAAACTGTAGGGACATACTAAAAATGTGTTACAAATATCCAAAACGATAATAATCATTACCTTGATGGTGTCATAGGTGTCAGTGATGATTGTGATGAAAAGGCTGAGGATCATGTAGATGAAGAGCGAGACAAAGGAATAGAGGTAGACTCTGCTGAAGACCCACACCAGGCTGCTCTTCTGCTTCATGTTCTTGAAGGTGGGATACATGTCATCTCCGTTGATCAGGGAGAACAGACACTCCGACACCGTGTTTAAGGTCCGGAACTAAAACAAAACATCCAAGAGGCGTTAACATTTAACCAGTGGTAAAAGTGCTTATTACATTTTAAGTGAAAGTATATATTCAAAACATACTAATAGTACTCGTTACGCAGAAAGTCACATTTTAGAAAATGTTTTATCATTGGATTATAACAATGAATGTATTATGTTGCAGCTGGTATTGGTGGATAACATTTAAACATATACAAATATATACTGTTGGGAAGGTTTTGAATTTAACTCCTTATTATAACATGTAATAATTATATATTGATTTATTATATTTTACATCATACATCCCAACACTGTCATTCATTAATAATACCAGCAATCAGAACCTAATTAGTTCCTAGTTTGACTTTTGCAAAATTCCAGCAGACTTGTCTTTGAATCATGCAAACACTCCTTACCTTCTCATGATACGGGCCAAGAACAACCCAGCCACACAAACAGTAACTCAGGTAGATGATTCCAGCGCAACAGATGAAACGGATAACATTTGGGAAAGCTGCCCTCAGTGTCAGGATGAGAATCTGAAAATATCCACAGACAATTGAAAAAGGTACACTGAAGACCCTTATGGAAATTCACACACACAAATGTGATTTTCTGGTCCAACAGGATGTGTTGTTAGAGATACTGGTAGTGTTCTCCTCAACCATATGAAAAACAACGTGTAGCAGCACCCCCCCATTACAAAAAATGTTGGATGCTACTGTTGTATTGTCCTATTATGGCATCTCTACCATAAAACAAGGTTGAGTTATTGCACTACATGGGGCACTCGATACCTAATGAACATGTGCTGTATTTCATAAATACTTACATTATACTTCCTAAAGTAGCCCATGTAGCGGATGACCCCGGTCCAGACAAACATGGTGCCTATCCCAAGGAAGATGCTGCAGAGATCATAATTTGTGAGTACCTGAAGGAAAATTGCAGCTTTTAATGTCAGGATTCAATGTTCGTAGACATTTCAATTTACTGTGACAGAAAATCCCCATTACCTTAGACTGGATCTCTATCTTGAGAATGGAGCCAACGATGGTCAGTATGTCACTAGCAATGATCAGGATATACCAACCATTTACAAACTCCAACCTGTCTGACCACGGGACTTTTTGACCACAGCGGTTCTGGCTGTAGAGTGTGTACGCCTGGTTACAACAGAAGGAACAGATGAAGTTATACTTTTAATTTCTGTTTCGACATTATTACTAGTTATTACTTTATTTAGGTACTGAAGTACAGATTTGAGGTTCTTTTACTTAAGTATTTTCATTTCATGCCACTTCATACTCCTACTATAATATGGTACTTCTGTCTTCACTAAGTTTAGCAGTATATGAAATACGAGCGAACAATACTTTTATAAAGTGTTCCAATATTAGCTTAATCTTAACCCACAAAAACAGTTAAATATAAAATACACATTTAAGTATCAGCAGTAATATATAGTATGCCATAAAAGGTAAACAAAAGTTAGAGTACAGTATGCCCTTAAAAATAAAAGCATAATATAGTATGTTTTAAAAAAAGTAACTTGTGTTTGTGAAAAAAGGCAGGGAATAGCATGCTATTAAAAAATATAATGGTGTGCATAAATTGGCATAAGAAAGTGTGCACCAGAAATGTAGTTATAAAGTGTCCTAGTGTGCCATATTCAAAAAATAAATAATAAGCAGATATATCACACTATAGACGGTATATCATTTTTGTTTTTACGTTTGAACAAAGCAAAAGATGCTATGCTTTACTGTGAGTTTAATTGACTTACAAGCTGCAGCTGAATCCCGTTGATGACTGAGCGCATGCAGAGGGCGAGGGATGTGATGCACGTTATAATAATGAAGCAGTCAAACAGCACAGTCAGGTATATGTTCCTGGCAGCTGAGGGAATAGGGAACATTTAAATTACTTTCACCTGAAAAGGACGATCTTCAAACTGATTTTATTAACATCAAAGTCTGAAGCAGCCTTAATGAATCCGTCAAAATCCTGGACCTGAGCTTAAAGCAACTCAGATGATTAATTTGCACATACTAAACTCAGCTCAGCAAACGTACATGCCCCTGCCACTTTCCAGTCTCTGCATTCATTGATGTCTACATCGTTTTCCAGGTCAACCTTTATCCTGCCGCTGTGAGCTTGGTTGTTGAAAGTGATCTGTTAACCAGAGGTCGTGTTCAAGGGAGGTAAGACATTATTTTAATAGGTGTACATCGTTATAGTCAAACCCAGTAGCTAAACATTCACTTTCCAGGCCGACAAAGTTAACTATGTACACAGCAGGCACTGTGTGCAAACAGCTTTACTTAAAGATTGCTCAGCTTTATTTTAGTAGTTTCATAAACATTTTTAAAGACAATGCCTGACATGTGATCCACTTGTGTTTACTGAGTCATGAAAACAAGTCAAGTGACTTACAATAACAGTAAAGTCGTAGCAGTCTGGAAGCTCTCGATGTCTCACCGTCTGCAGATTTATGGCCTTGAGAACAAATGTGACCTTAACAGAGAGCATCCTGAAAAAAACAGAGCAGCTATATAAACTAACGGCCTCTTTACAGCGACTGTAAAACTTTTGCCTTAAGAGAAAAGACTTTAATTAAATGTTACGTGCAAACCTTTTGAAATGTAATTCAAAATGTGGAAGTGTTTCCTGCAATGATGGATTATACATCGGATAAACTTCAAAGCACTCTGTAGATACAAGCAGCAACACACAAAAAAGACAATGACAAATGAGCAACAAATAAACGTATTAAATGTATTTAAGTATTCTGCTGGTCTAAGCATAACTCAAATAATCATACATACTCACCAGTTTCCACATGAGCATCAATTTCAAAGGTGTCATTTCCAGGGAAGATGGTACCGTTCCTGTAGAAATCCTGACACACTGACAGGGGTGTGTAGAAATCACCTTTTTTCTCATATGCGTGATTGCCTACTGTGATGTTGTGCAGATGTCCATACTGGAAATGAACAGTTGAAATCTCAGGTATAATAAAGTCAGGTTTGTTTACTATTGGACAGTCTTGATGTGGAAAAAGAAAGGAAAAGCTGCTACGGTTTATGGTTAGATTTGTCGAGTCAAAATCTACAAAACAAAATAATATGAACAAAGTCCAAACCAATAAAAAATGACACTTGTCATGGGAGCTTGGTAAGCTCTTTGGTCATATACAGTAAGCAAGCATAGTTATACCAACAATGATTTACAGTAACGCAAAAGGAAAATGTGTGGCATGATCAAAAATAAACTGACTTGTACAAATTAAATCATGCCTTCTTGGTGTTCTCTGAAATAAATAAGGAGAAAAAGAAAATACAGCATTTAATTACCTGTATGATTATGTAATCAATGTGATCATAAACGTCAGCCTGTCTGTAAACAGCATATGAATCCATGCCTCCATCGGCATAATCTTTCAGGAAGAGGTGCTTGAATGTCATCAGATTTTCCTCCTTGAATGTGACAACCATCTGGTTGCTCAGCCCAAAGGACACTAACTGATGCAGGTAAAGAAGGAAATGTGTTATCAAGCTGGTGAAACAACACAGTTAACATCTGTTCGAGTAATGAGTGAGAAAAGTTACCTGGATAGTGATGAAGGCAATTTTTATGATCTGCAGTATGAGTTTCCATGGTTTTCGGCCCCGAGCGTGGTACTTCTCACAGGGGTTCATAAAGTAATATTTGATCTTCCTTCTGAGACACTCCACATTGTCCTGATCTTCCAGACACTGATGTTGGGGGTCTTCCCAGGGATGGGGGGCATTGGTCGTGTACACGTCATACAAGTCACTTCGGTCCTCCATATCTACAACCAATTGAATGTTGTCATTGTAATGTGAGGGGGGATTAAAGCAAAGTTACTGATGACCTTATTCTTACACTCATGTTTGGAATAACAAAGTGTAGCAGTGGCACATAATCATTCAACAGTGAGTATATCATTGTTTAGTTTTTGTGTAGAGCTGTGAAGTGTTTTATTCTGTTTTCTGTATACTGCAGTTGATACATGTTGGCTAGTTGTATTTTCAGTTGTTTTCTTCCGCATTCTAAATGGAGCCTACTAACCAACAACTCTGTGAAAAGTAAGGAAATTAAATTCGGTATACCCGAGCATTGTTCAATAAGAAACAGCAGCTCACATTCTGATACCTGTTCGACCACCATGGAGGCAAGCTATTACATATTCATTACGTTTCGTGTAATAACTAAGTATTCTGTCAGTGCACAAGAATGAAAATTGGCCAATAGGCTTCTTACCTTTAGGTCCCGCAGCAGATTATCTAGCTGCGTTCACCTGTCGTCTGCGGCACGCGATACATATGTGTCCAAAATATCTTTGTCTAATTAAAATTCATAACTTTCTTAAGTGTTTATTCAATCAGAGAGTCGTGACTAAAGTAATAACACTGGGTGTGCAAGATTTACGAAGTAAGTCTTGGGAGCAAAATCCACTCGGACTGTAAATGGCTCAGGTAACTTCTTGTGACGATGCAACGTCATTTTACTGCTGCAACCTGATTGGCTCTTTGACCTGTCAGTCGTGTCCAGTTTGTTCACTCCTGTTACCCTTGGTTACCAAACAGTGCCACTGATGAGCGAGGACGATGAAAACTACTAAAGCTAACAACAGTTGATAAACAAGCGGTAAACTTTATTTATTCGTCTTTAAAACTGTGGTTTAATGGAAGTTAGTCGGATTTACGTTATCGTTAACTGCTATTAGCACCGTCATTTAGTTTAAAAACTGGTTACAAACAAGCTGTGTTAACTACAGTGTATTGTAACCATTGTGAACAGTTAGCCATGCTTACGTAGCTTAGCTTCCAAGTAAATGTTTCCAAATTAACATTAACGTGACTGTCCTTTTTCGTCGAAAACAGACCATGTAATGTTTCACTCTGAACAGCTGAAAACATTTGTATTGTTTTATTTTGTGAAGTAGGCTCTACCATTATATAAATTATAACACTGTGACACTGACGTTAAACACAACTCATTAAAGTTATATGTGCTAATTCAAAACAATTTACACACAACATTATGACACTAACGTTAAAACACAACAAATTAGTTATTGTGTACAATAAGTCAAAACAAATTACAAATTGTGTTGTAAAACGTATTGCATTAATACATTAAATCCAAAAGATTCGTTTTCTAAGTATTAAATGACCAGCTGAATTTCACATAAACAATGCATTTTCAATAACTCCTTTCAGCTTGCTCATGAAAAGTATGCTAAACAATTATAATAAATGTGTCTTATGTATCCCACGTTTAGTTTTTAGTTTTAGTTTTTACTAAAATATATAATTTAAGATCCGTTTTTTCTCCAAAAGCTTTGTTTCATGTGACACAGCGACTACATGGCATTTTCTATTTAATATGAATATTGTTATATAAAAGTTCAGATGTTTTTATTTATATAAAACTATTGATTATTTTTCAATAGCTTACAGCATTGTAGGACATTTTCCCTTGTATATATATATTTGTATTCAAATTCAGTTTTCCATTGGAAAGTTTTGTCCACAAATAATACTCAACATGAAAAAAATGCCAGTTATTTATTTGTTTTTACCTTTGAAGAGCAGTTTGGGTGATAACTGTGTTCACAGCAGTAGACCCTTACAAGTGCATAAACTACATTGATCAAAGATAGATGTTAGCTTCCTTCTCATATGGCTAATACAAAAAAGAATAAATTCTCCTTTGAACCACAAGATGTCGCCACCGCCATGAATAATGATTCTGGGCTACCCTTCATGGCAGTCTGCTCTATCTCTCTCTGTTACCTGTCTGTCAAATTACATTGTAACTCTCTGACAGATGGTCGATGAAATAGCATGTGTGTATTGATAAGGATATGTTATATTTTGCAAGAAAAATATAACACTATTTTTACGAAAATGTTCTTCCTTTCATTAGCGAAGCAATACTAACAGCAAGGATGCCACCCAATAAATCAAAAAGTGTGACAAGCAGTGCAGGCAGTAAGAAGAAAGGTGAGTGTCTGAACAATAGCAATGTTGTTAATGTGTCTAAATGCTTGCACGCTTGTCTCAGGAAGATACAACAGAGACACAATCAATGAAATGATGATCTAACGGTTTCTTCCAATGTAGGCAAGAAGACTGAGTCACCTGCACAAGGGGAAAAGCTTGGTAAGACCACATTACTTTTTCACCCATCCTAAACTATATTGTAGATTACATAAAAAACAACATTTCTTATGGTTTTCTCAAAACTAAAACATTTTCAGTAAAACTTGTGCCTAAACATACATTTGGCTATAGTCGGCAGAGATGCGACTGTCTAAAAGCAAACAACATTTCGGCGAACCCTGAGGGAATCTTAACCATCTTAAATTAAATGTTTTGAATTAAGGTCTGGTACATTTAACATGACCCTTATACAGGTTACTAAAGTGTTAGGCTCAATATTTAGTTTTATAAATTGCTTTTAACTTAGATTAAGTATTTTGTATTTGACTACCTTCAATTATTTAATTGGGAAGGCCCAAAAAATCTGTGTTTCATACCATTTATTTAGATTCGTGTTGGTTAGACTAATACTCAGAGATGTCTTTGAGGAGTGGGAGAAACTATATGCATTCTTCTGAAGTGATCTTGAGTGCATAGCCTTCGGACAAACTCTGCACTCAGCTGTGAGTCCCCATTGTCATGGTCTAGTTTACTCTCAGCATGCCTGCTATGAAGACATGCTTTTGGTCAGATGAAGGTCACTAAGTATATATTTTTACTATAGATGAGAGCATTTGCTTTTGTGGGAGTTACATGCAGGGGTATTTAGAGTCCTCAGATTCAGGTTGGCTATGTTTTGTTCATTTATTCATTGATTTCACAGATTTCCAGCTTGGCAGTATAAGTGCAAGTCTGTAAGACCTCCTAAATGAACTCAACCTAAAACATTTTTCTCTAACTTTAACCTCAACCTGATCCAAATAGTCATCTAAAACCAGGTTTTAAACCTAGCCTTTATTCGTTGACCTCATGGCGACCGACTTTTGGTGGCCGACTCACACAAATGTAAATACTGAATGTGTATACCTCTGAACAGGATTCTCGAGAATATTGACAATACAACTGATATCTAATCTTATAAGCAAATAAATGCCTATTGTTCAGGCTTTAGCTCTTCTGTTTCAACAGATGTGAAAACAATCATAAGTTCAATGTACAGTATAAATATCTTACGGTATGAAGTGAGAAAATGCTTGAGTACAAGAGGAAAGAGGCCCGACAAATGTTACATCTCTTCAGCGCAGCGTACAAACGCGGTTTAATTGCATTCTTTAGGGTTATGGAACATTGCACATCACACTCTCTTACAAGCAAATATATCCCATGAATACAAATGCCATAGTTGACACATAAACTGTGTGAAATGACGGGTGTGAGTTTCCACTACAATGATTTGGCATTAGGCCTCAATGGTGTGAGTGGAAAACGTTGACACGCCCAGCTGGGAAGTGGTTACTTAAGCTGTACTTTAGCATTCCCAGCGTCCCCTCAGCAACCTTGTGGAAAGACTTTGAAGAGAGAGACCGCAAGCAGGATGAAAACTATCATTATGTTGAGCTCTGTTTACTATAATGTGCCCTGGACTGAGCCTGGCCTCAGATATAAAGGAGTCGGCATACATTGTTTACTACGAAAACCCTTTTTGGTGATAGTGCAGTACTACGGTTTTATATAGCAACAATGAGCTATCCTGAATCCATGCAATATTGAACTGCCTCTCACATACCAGTATACTAGATAAATACAACATAAGTCCTTCTACAAGTGTTTGGACATTGCGTGTAGTCTATTCACTAGGATTACATTTCATCCTGTGATATTGTAGGTGGGCCGCGCTGCAGGGTGGGGCAGGTGAAGGATCAGAGACGTTGTGTGTTTGATCAGAAAAGTAGGGGCAAGAAACAGTGTCACAGTCCGTGGGCATGGGGAATTGAAAGCCTGTCCATTGTGTGCACATCACTTGATTAGTGAGATTTCTGATCTAAGTTGTGGCATCTCTACAGTTTTACTCATCTTGCTTACATCATCACAGTTTCACCGATTCTACAACCTTTGTTATGTTTTTTTCAAGATATAACAGTAATGTACATTTTATATGCTGGACATAATCAGGAATAAACCTTTGATTTGTTTACGTTTAATCTTCTCCATTATGACAGCTACAGCTGTAAACATTATTTTAACGTGATATTTGTGATGCAGGTAAAGCCAGTGGAATAGACAGAACACCTACACTCGGCATACAACATCAAACACTACGATGCTTATTATAATTTTCAACACTTTCTAGAGCATCAAATATACTTGCATCTGACAAAAACACTCTTTATGATTTTATATATTTGAATGAGACTTTATACTCTTTACTGTATGTGGTTGTTATGCAGATCATTTGAATACAGATTATGTATCAATCAATGAAATCCCAAAACATGATGTGATTTAGAATATGATCTCCTGTAGTTGATTTTAACATGATTTTCCGTCTACCATCTCTCCTGCCTATATTGATTATGATCCCTCTCCCAAAGGTCACCCTGATGATATCCTCCCCATGGTCCTGACATCAGCCACCCAGGAGCTCTTTGGTTGCCGGGCGGATGAGGACGTCACAGGGGAGAGCCCTTACAAGCTGCTAAAAAAAGACGACATCATACAGGACCTTAAGACAAGAGCCGCAGTGTCCGATTTCAGCCCTGCGAAGCAGATTGTGCTGGTGAGACTGATCCATTGTCATACAGATTACTCAGACAATACCCAGCAGACACTGTGATGATACATAGACCCTGACGCAAGGGCTGTGGGAACAGAGTAACCGAGTAACACGTTTTACCTCATTTCCCCTCTGTTTTTGATCAAGATTAAATACATGGTGTCTACCACTCTTACTCTAAACGTTACTTCTATTTCAACACATGACTCAATTGAGAACAGAGAGAAAACCCAAGAGGACACGACCATTTCATTTTTCATTTTTCTTTTTTAAATTTGTTCCGTTAAAGGTAGGGTAGGTAAGTTTGAGAAACCGGCTCGAGATCGCTAGAATTTGAAAATACACAACCGGAGAAAATCTGCCACTTCCTTACAGAGCCCCTCCTCCAACACACACGAACGCGCACATGACCAATGAGGGCACGAGATAAGTTTGTGCACAGATGGAAGGCTGACAGGCAGGTAGGCCATCCAGTTATTTTAGCCGGGCCGGCTAAAATGATTGGTCGTACTTTTTACAGTATTAAAAATAATCTTCCACAGATGATATGTTTTTATGGATTTTTTGTCAAAGCACTTAAGATATTCATTGCTATCGGGATGTTAAGAGCATTCCATGGAATATAACAAAAAGTGTATCTCGAGCCGGTTTCTCAAACTTACCTACCCTACCTTTAATGTGGTATGCACAAACGCAATGTATAACAATTATTTACAAAACTCTCTGTCTCACAAACACACCATGCCCGAAAAGGAGCAGGGAGAAGGACATCATCTTATATAACCTGCCCCTTTCTCAAAATAAAAAAAGAAATAGAAATAGATGGTCTGTCCTTCATATTTTCTTATTCACAGCCAATCATTACAGTATCGTAGGAAAATAAGAGAAACACAAAAACACACACAAATTACTTACTTCCCACTAGACAGTTAAGGGAAAGAAACAAAACCAAAAAAACAACACCAAAACGTCACATGAACAAGGAAACGTGTAACACCCTCATCTGAGTCTTACTTGAGTAGAAGGGGAAAGCGGCGCATAATAATAATAAGTACATAAACGTATTCACAAACCATCTGTTTAAGTGTACAGTAATGTCAGCTTTCTGATTTGGGACACAGTTAATGCCTTACCTTGGCTTTAGGGATGTAAGTGTTGTTCTATCTCTCTGTCTTACTGCTGTAAAAACTGACCACAATCAATTCAAGACACCACATTGATTCATTCTAAAGAAACATTGTTGTGAAAATTGCTGATTGTTGTGAATTCAAACTCTTCTACCTGACAGGACTACCCAGAGGATGAGCTCCTGCTGGTGTTTGACAGGGACTTCACCTATGACCAATTATTCTACCTGGTTCTGACTCCAGAAGCCAAAGACAGAATCCTCAATGTAAGCAAACAGTGGTTTAGTAACAAGGTTCACCTATTCCTTTTGTTCTTAGTAATACACTGTCTACTACTGTGTGTTTGAGAAGTGGTGCAGTAGGTAAACTACTGACAAAATATGTTATCTTCCTTATAATGAGAATAAATGCCTTAGTCATTTATCATGAACATTAGCACACGAGTGGCGCCACTCATTTATTCAGTATTGTTCTGTGTCATTTACTCTCCTTTTATACTTTAGTTATGTACACTACTTTATCACTTATCGCAATGAGTAATGGCTGCTATCAGCGGCCCATTTGGCCTTCCCAGCTGGCATATTTTCAATGGTCGACTAAACTAAAAGGAATTCAATACCTACTTCCCTATCTTGCTGTAGCTCAAATATTGTTGTAGAAAGTGTGATCATGTGGGCAGATTTCACATTTAGCTATCGGCTTTTATTATAGTGTGTTACCTGTTCTTTATACTTTGTCAAATTGTAATTTTCTCTGCAGCCCCCACAGCCTGAGACACCAGAGGTTTGTGAGAATGAAGTTAATAATAAAACCGGAAGATCAGAACCGAAGCCATGGATATCTCTTGGTAGTGAGCAGGAAATAGATGAGGAATCTTTCGAAGAGAGCAGGGAAAAGGTACTGCAGCTTTTAAAAACATATGAAACCAGGTTTACTTTCTTACTTCCATTACACATCTCTATTGGGTTTATTTGTGTCTTCAGCTGTGGTACAAGTTCTCCAGAGTGAGGAGGAAGTTTGGCGCTCCAGTCTGTTTTTCTGACCGTAACACCTACATGGAGTGTGTTCCCTTCCACGACAGCAGATTCAGAATCAAACAGATGCAGAGGGACTGCGGGATGCAGGCTGTTCCCAGAATGCAGAGCAGCAGTTCTCAGACTCAGTGGTATGTGGTTCTGCAGAAGGGGAAAGCACTAACATTTTCTGCCAACACCTCAGTGCATTTAGAACATACGTTTTGAACACTGAATGCTGTATAAAAAGCCTTTGTGTGACATTTATTTTTCTGAAACTCATGCCTATAAGCTTTATACTCAGGTGGTTCAGATTATATAGCTGACACATTCATGAAATAGCATTAGCCTTTCGTGTTTTTTTCTCTCTTTATTACCTTTAATAGTACCTCCACCTTCACATATTGTATCATTATTTGTGCACACCTTACAGGAAGTTTAAGAGGAATATCTTTACCCAGTACACGCCAAGAGAGTTAAGTGATGGAGATAAGGAGAACATCCACCAGCGTGAGAATCTGAAGCATTTCTGCAACTCTGTGACCCCCAGGTAAGAATTACCATTATGGGAGCATTACACTGTTCAAAGGAAACACCTTAACCTTCCCAGTGTAGTAGACTTTGAGTGTAACAAAACATGACCTTCCACCCTTCTCTGTGTCCTGGTAAAAGATAAGAGAACATCTGGCCTGTTAGAAACATTGTACTGTAGCTATGAAAAGATTACAAAATGTAACATATTTACACGTTTAGCCAATAGAAGTTTGACTTAAAATATTGTTTTGCAGAGTTTTGCAAGCCCTACAGCAGGAGGAAATCATGAATGTGTTCTTCGATGACTGGAAGGCCCTGGGGACAGGTGATGATGCTGACTGGTCGGGGAAGATTTTCGAAGGTTTGATGCTCTATCAGGCCTTCACAGACCAGAAGTACACCAAGGACAAGAAGATCAGCAGCATAAACTGGCACCCTACCATCTACGGTAAAGGGCAAACGGAGTGTAGTGGTCAAATAGCTTTGAATAGAAATCTTCTCACACATACTCTTACGCAGCTCTTACAGAACAAATAGTTTTAAATCATTGGTTTAAACGACTGATACTTTGATGGACACATTCTCCATTTAATTTCACTGTCAATGACAAGTACAAGTATTTAAAATACCCATTCATTGTAAAAGCATTCATCTTTTGCACTCCTGCTTTGTACTGTTGTCTGGCTGTCATCACTCAGAGAGTAAGCCGTCAGCAAAATCCACAATAATAATATCAGTGCCAAATCATGTGATCAGAGCAAAAACATGTTATTCAAAAGAGAGATCAGAGTTGAGCCAATGATTTGTCAATCAGGAAGGTTAAAACACTACATTTGTTTTCCTCCTGCTGCTGTGTTGTTGATCTGTATGATTTGTTTTGTAACGTATTAGGTGTGCTAGCTGTGGCTTTGACAGAAAAAAAGACGGAGGAGGTAATGGATGAGTCCTCAGCGTTCGAAGTCAGAGAGTCTCACATTGTCTTCTATAGTTTCTCCGACCCCTCTAATCCCCAGGTATGGAAATTGTAAATGATTGTGGATAGTGTACAGGTGGAAGAATAGATTGAATAGAGCGTATTTCTATCTCTCATTGACAGCTCACAAGCTAGTTCTCACCTCATGTCTGGTTGACACACTGTGATAATATATGGCAGGAAGGATCTGCTTTCTCCTGTCATTCAATCCTTTTATTTGCTTAAGCAAAATTTGAGAGGCCCTATTGATTTGCCCCAGGCACTCAATCAATAAAACTGAGCTGCTTAATCACTCAAAAGTAATATGAGTTCTGCATGACGTAGCCCTTCACCTCTTCATGTGTCATGCTTTAGTTTCACCGTCTACTGGAGCAGTGATCAAAATGACAAAGGGTACTGTGTAGAATAAACTGGAGATTCTATAAGAATGAAATACATATATTAAGTTAGTGTGTGGAGTGCTATTGTTAAGCTATTTTTTAACTGCAGGAGATTCAAACATACTGCTGGAAAATGACCTCTCTGTAATACCATCCTAGCCCTCCTGGATCCTTTCCCTCTTATGCCTGATGACATGGAATACTGTATGCACTCGGTTTTGTGGATTAAAAGTTAAACTCTAAGTGGGGAGACTAGAATAAATAAATATTTGGGATGGAAAGCACCCAATACATGGAAATGTCTACTCTGAAATATAATATTTCTGCTCTGTACGTGGGTTTCTTTGTGTTTGCAGTTGCTGCTGGAGTGCCCAGATGACATTTTTGCCTTTGAGTTCTGCCCCTCTGATCCAAATATTATCGTTGGCGGCTGCGTGAATGGCCAGGTGCTGACTTTGACTCTGCTATCCATCTGTGGTTTGCTGCATCTGCTGCCTTGAAGTAGCTTTTGTAACTTGCCACTTTTCCATTTTTCATTACAAGTGCATATTATTAAATAGACCCTCAGTCATGACAAACATATCCTGTACAGATCCAATGTACTGTTCCCCTGTTTCAATCAAAATGTAAACCAATTTATTGTGTTTATTTACACAAGGAAGTGTATTCTGCACTTGGCTCGGATCTCTACTGATTTTGTGTTGCTGCTGTCTCAGGTGGTGTTGTGGGACATTTCTGCTCACGTCATACACCTACAGGGAACACAGTCAGGCAAAGATGCTTCACTCAACACTGACACATTCGTAAGTACCTATATACTTTCTCTAATGTGCATAATGTTGATACAATAATACATGATGTTCTGTATCTGTGTTGGTGTACTACATGTGGTATCAGTTACTATAATTCTATGGCTGGTGATGATGTTAGCTTGGTTTATTCAAGTTTGTGCCCTCAGTTTATCAAAGCATGCAGCAGATCTGCTGTAAAGACAGGCTGTGCTGTATGACAGAGTGAGATGATGATACGGTGACTCCTGAGTTCTCCCCTCATCCTCACTCTTTCATTAGAAGGGAATGCAGTGGCCTAATGGTCCTTTTCAAGCCAGTCCCAGCTGTCAAAACTAGTTCTGCATACGTACTAATGCCAGGAGTACATCAGAAAGCAAGTTTATATTCCTTACATGACCCTACTGCTAAACGAAAACAGCTTATTAGGCCTCATAGAAGCACCACAGACAGATTGAAGTGATCAAACTCCTTTTGACTAGGGACAGAAACTTCCAAAATGTTTTTTCTTTTGACTAAACGTCATAATAAATGACTATTTCAAAGCTGCCCTGTTTAGATGTTTTTATGTAGAGTAATACAGATAGGTATAGGAAATAGAGAGATAATGATACGTGACAAAAACAGGGCTCAGTTTTAACCAACAACATAGCATGGACATTAACGCTAGGCGTGTGGACACCAAATCGGAAGCCAGTTATGTCCCTTAAAGACTGACCTTCACTGACATCTTCCACTCGGCTGCAGTACTTAGAAAGACATATCGGCCCCTATCATCCAGCCATCATTTGCTTCGTGTTTGTTTATTGCCTCTACAGTGGAACAGCTGTCTCCATCCCTTTCCTCACTACGTCCCTCTCTGTTGCTTTACCCTCTCCCACCTCTCCCTCTATTCTCTTTGTCCTTGTTTGCTCTTCATTCCCTAAAGTCAACAGCATCAGCTCACATACTCCAGCTGTTACACAGGCCTTTCCATCCTCCACCATAGTCTGCCCACATAGAAGATAACACACAAGCAAATCAGATCACTGCCCTCCCTTGTGTTTGCAGTGTAAACAATGGCAGTTCTATCTGCTAAAAAGGTTTTATGTCCATGTTGGGTGCTGTGAAAGCTGCGCTACACCAGCACCTGTTGCTAGCTTATCAGATAAACAAAGAATTACAATTCTCCTGTATAGATTTCGGTTCTGTTCACACCACTCACATTTAACTGCATGAGCACTGCACAGTGTTACTGAACAAAACAACCGTTGTTCCAAACTCTATGCATGTTTTAATATTATAGTGACAGTATTTAGAGTTTCATTTTTCCAGTATAGACCATTTCACACTTGTAAATGTCAACATTATTAATGTGTCCCATTTTCTTTTGTGTTACAGTGAATGTGAATGATATCAGCTGACAAGAACTGAACTAGAAAGCTGTTAAATCCAGAAAATTACAATTCAGTTAAAATGTTCTAATCATAATTTGTGATGCATACTTTCCGTTTGCACCATTTTGGTATGGCCTGACTGCTGTCAAAGGCCTTTGCATGTACATTGAATTGTCCGAGCTCACTGTACATGCTGTGCCTTTTGTGTCTGACGTGCCACCAGGACCTCGATGACAACAAAGAGAATAAGACTCCTGTTGTGCGCTACTGTGCTGTGTCTGCATTAGAGAGCAGCCACAAAGCGCCAATTACTGATGTCCAGTGGCTGCCACCAACATTTGAGGTACGCAGAGTTGAAGCGCATGAAGGGTTGGAAGAAACAACAACTTCAAATCCAATATGCAGAATACAAGATCACAAGTTATTTCTTGGGATTTTAAAACATGACTGCTGTGGGTAGGTGTTGGAACCTTCCACAGGGGTTCATTCGTATGTATTTTATGTTGATTATGAAAATATGTTTGGTGTGACTACACAGCAAAATATTCCTTTATGTTTTCCTAATCTCTAGCTTCTTTTATCATATCTTAAGCCAACATCGTTAGAGTACATTTTAATCCTTCCAACCTAAGTCTTAAATTGCTAAATAAACATTAAACACTTCCAGGTTTGCCATTGCTCTAATGATTTCTATATCTAGTTTTAAAATGTTGACAGAGTTTTATCTGACTAAGGCTAAAAGCCGCTTGAATGCAAACAAGTGGAACAGGAGGTAAGAACATAGTGGACACAGAGGAGTATTAGGGCAGCGAAAAGACTGTGAGGCCAATCATTCAACATATGGAGGATATAATGATACAAATGTAAAGGTTCAACAGAGGAGTGTGTAAGGAGAACACTGTGGGAGAGAACTATCATTGCTCCAAAGCACCACTGCCACAACATTTTGCATATAATAAAATATAATGTATTTTACAGTACATCTAAAAATGTATTGATTAACTTGCTGCAGTGGCACGATGGGGTTTGGTCTGTAACCCAGCGCAAAGAAGTGCAGTAATAACACTGAAAGATAATAGTTGCAGCCACAAAAAATGCAACGACAATGAGCCATGGTCTCACACAGATTCTATACATTATCACAGTTCCCAGAACCTCAGCATGTTGCTTGAGTTTTCTTTATGAAACAATTAATGTTGGTTTCCCACTGGTGTCTGTCCCTCATGTCTACATCATAAATCATGACAAGCACTGGCACTCGTGTGGATAAGTAAAATAAGGCAATCATCAAAGTGCCCCTGGGGTCACATTAAGCTCCCATATATCTTCTGCAACCTTTTTTCTTTCACTATAATCAGCTCTCACTAAGCCTGACAGACACTTTCTTGATTTTGCGACTCTCTCACTGATTAGGTGACCAAGTTGGGCTTACCTGTGGAGAACAAGAACAACGTATCTGTTCAGGTCGTCACCTGCTCCCCAGACTGGTAGGTAAAAGAACATGTTGACTTTAAATGTAAAAAAAATGAACACAGCAAGCATATATGGAAGACCAGGTAATGTCCATAGATTTCTGTTAAAGTGGTTGAGTCCATATCAGTTAGTATTCACAGTGTGTATAAACAATAGGATTCAAGTATACTTAAATAAAGTTAATTTTTCATTTTTCTCCCTTTAAAGTGCTTTAATGTTCTGGGATGTGCGAGTGACAAAACTGTTGAGCCAGTCAGGGTCGGACAGGAAGCAGAATGCCGATCAGAAGACTTCCTACGGTGTCCCTGAGACTTTCAAACATCTGGACCGGACATGGAAGCCTCTGTTTAAGGTACTGCAGGGATGGAGGGTGCAATAAAAACATTTCCAAGTTTCCAAATCTAAAAATAAAGCTGAATAGACATTGAGATATGAAACCGATGACCATTGTGTCTACTAATTCTGGCAGAAATGGATTCTTCCGATATGAAATTCAATAAAGGTTAAGAATCTTGCAATCTACTGTCTTGAACATTTGATTTCAACAGTAATTCCTACGCTATATTTATATCTATTTCCATCTGTGTTTATTTGTGTTGTTGCTAAAGCATAGTTCTTAAAATAGTGTTTTGTCCTTGACAGTATTTTTAAAATGTCAAAAGTTGTATTTTCTCTGTCCTGTGTCAGGTTTCCCTGCCAAAGATCGATACCGGTGGAGAATACGCTCCTCTCAAGTTCAGCCTGGAACTCTACAGCTGTAACGCTAATAATACAGGCAGGACCAAAGGTGAGAGACCTTTACCTTTAGGCTGTCTCTGTTACACCATCTCTCCCTTCTCCTATAATCAGTCACTAATGCACATGATTCAATTACAATAATGTGTTCACCAGCTACTGTTTGGTGTCACTGTTGGATGTAGCACACCCCATGAAAGTGGGTTATAGCTCACTCACTTTCAAAAAGCATAATATTGTCCAAAAAGGACGGCTGTTTCGTCACTGTCCAAGAGTCACACTTAACTGGAACAAGAATTATGATATAAATAACACAGTCAAATAATATGAATATAAAAGGCTGTAATTATGACGACCTGCCTGCTATTAAACTTCAAAAGCTATTACTTGTCCTACCTCAAGATGGCACACAGGGTTACTGCGTCAGGTTTGGCGTAACTTTTCACGACTACTTTTATTTATTTTTTACTCTTTAAAACATCACATGAGAAAAAAAGTGAAGCAACAGAATTCTAAATCTTTTTGCGTTAAAAACAAGTGAGGAGACCAAACAATGAACATTACAAACCTAAATATCCTGTATCCGATGCAAAACTGTGTTTTTCGCTACATGTGTGAAAGATTTTAGATTCTTTAAATAAGGTTTTTTTGTCCCCAAGGACATTTCCATTGCTTTGGTGATAGTGCTACACACAGCTGCCATCAACTAAAAACAATAAGTGGCCAACAAAGCAGTACAGTGGTACACTAAAGACACAGTAAAAAAAAAAGGCCTTAGAAATAAATAAATGTATTTTATCAATATTTAAAATACACAAAACGATGATACATATAGAATATAAAACTAAATGCAGCAGTGCCTCCTTGACTGTGAAGCCAGTCTGCTCGGATGGCTGGGCGCAGTGATCAGTGGGGCAGGGTTCACCCAGCCCAGTGCTTTCCCTCTCTGTCTGTCTCCCCCTCCTCTCCTCTGGTTTCATAGCACTTTATTAAGTGATACTTCCAAAACAAGGCCCTCATAGTTGCGGAGCATTAGCCTCGCTGACTGTCAGCTCTTTGCAATATGCTGCTCCGGCTCCTCTGGGCTCCAGAAGATGATCGTGTGTGTCCTGGCTGGTCAAGAAGAGACCTGTCTTTGTCTGCTGAAGGTCTGCCTCCATAAACACAGCTTTGGTGGCTGCCGTTTATAGAATTCATATGTTCACTATCAGAGGCAATACATCTGCTGCAGAGCCCTCAGGCAGTCTGTTATTACGTTTTTTAATTAATCGCGGTGTGAATAATACTTAAGATGTTTGACTCATATGAATTCTACACTGTCTTCCTCTGAGCGCCAAAACCAACTTTGTTCCTCACCTTTTGTCATCTGCTCAGAGGTGGGAAGTAGATATACTCAAGTACTGTAATTAAATAAAGTTTTGAGATACTTGTACTTTACTTGAGTATTTCCATGTAATGCTACTTTATACTTCTACTCCACTACAGTTAAAAGCATAAACATTTAATTGACCTACACTACATTAATTAAACAGCTTAAGATACCTTTAAGAAATTGCAGCTCTAACAATAAAACTAGTGGACTAACTCTTTAAATCACAAAAGACTCAGATTATTCAAATATTTAACAAAAGGTCGTTACCGTAAAATGCTACTTGATGCAACAATATAGAAATGTCACATATATAATTATATACACACATAAAGGCAATTTTTCTCTCCATTATGATTACGTTTTATACTTTAAGTACATTTTGCTGATAATACTTTTGTACTTTTACTTAAGTAAGATTTTGGTTGCAGGACTTTTACTAGTATTTTGACATGAATGTATTGGTACTTTTACTCAAGTAAAGCATCTGAATACTTCTTCCACCTCTGCTGATGCTGTATTCACTTGCACTTACTAAAGTAGCCACTGTATAAAAGTTCCACTTGGCCCTTTAACGGGACCACAGGACTTTCCACTCTTTTCGGAGCAGCCCCTCATGGGGATTAAGCAACAGTTGAGCGGCAGTGCTCTGTGGTGAACGTGAAACAATGTCTACATCTGTTGCTGTGCTGGATCGTTTGTCTGATATCTTTACACACATCTTAACTGGGGCAAAGTGGATTTAGAAGATGTGTGATTGGGTAATCTGATCTGACCTTCAAGAGGCTGAGAGTTGATTGGGAGCGGCCTGCTGATAAGGGGGTGTGAATGGAGAGTCCTGTACTGTCCCTGAGAGACAGTTGGGCTTTTGTGGAGGAAAAAGCTTCTTCCATCCCGACCCATACTGCCTATCTCTGCCTTTCCTCCCTTCTCCCTTACTGTCCCCCTTCTCAACACAATCCTCACTTTTACCTCCACCTCCATATCCTCTCTTATCAACCCATTCACCTCAGCTGTACCCCTCCCCACCTCCATCTCTTTTGTCCTTCTATTGTCTTGTTCATGGTCAGATTACAGGGGAGGCTTCACCAATGCAGCTGCTTAATTCCTCTTTTTCCTTACTTACCCTATCAATTGTAGGCGTTTTTTTTATATTTCTTGACTTTATTTTACGAGTAAGACCCCACTCCCACACGGGAGCGCAAACGCAAACGGACCGAATTCATTATCAAAAAAGTCTTCCGTTCACACGCATTCGGCTCATTTAACGTGTTTCCACTGGAAACGCTGTAGTACATATGCCGGGCCTGTAAGTGGCGCTGTACTTCCGCACGAGACGCTCGTAAGCGCTGGAGACGCTGTAGTACATATGCCGGGCCTGTAAGTGGCGCTGTACTTCTGCCACAAAATACACCAAAAGCAGCGAAGAAGACCCCCGAGCATGGTTGCCATGGTTGCCCTTCTGTTTATGCCCCGCGGTGGATTTAGCAACATGTAGTTCATGTAATTGTCCATGTCCACTTGTTGCTGATGGTTCTGGTAGAGGAGCTGTAGATTTTGCACTAACATCTGTAGCATGGTCGAGCTGTAGATTCTGCACTAACTTACGTTTTCAGAAGTTCTCTAAGATGTTGTAGAAATGTTGTATTCTGCAGTTTTCTACAGTGTATTGTCAACATCTTTTTCCTAATGGCTGAAAAAGGCCCATGAATGTGAAACATTTTTTTAATTATATTTTCTCTCTACCCTCCCTCGCTGTTTCCCCTCTACCCTCCCTCGCTGTTTCCCCTGACAGAGGAAGCTAATGAGAATGATGACGGCTCAAAGGTCGTCCCTGACTACAGCCAGCTCAGAGTGCCCTCGGCAAAAATACTCGCTACTCTGGAAGATGTCAATACCAGGCTCTATATTGGAACAGAGGTAAACATTCCTACCAATATAATCAGCAACAGCGAGCAGTATTTAACTTCGCTACAACAGTGAGCTGCTGGATGAGCTTTAAAACAAAGCTAAGTGAAAAAAAGGTATGCAGGTCGACCCCATGTTGATAACATGTCACATCATGTGAATATTTTTCCTACCAGGATGGGGAGATTATTTACACCGACTGGAAACTGGTGAAGGACGACTCTGGGAGGCAGCAGAGTAAGTCAGTTTAAAGATGATTAATTATATGTATGTATGTTCATGTTGACTTATGTCTATTCTTCAAAGGAGACCAGGATGTGGTTTGTTACACTAAAGTTGAGGTATCATCAAAGTCTTGAAAAACTATGGATTTAAAAACAATTCTGCCAAAGTTATAAAAGAAAGATGTCGTCAGAGTAGTCATGACAGCCATGCTGAATCAGAATCAGAATCAGAATACCTTTGTTAGTCCCACAGAGGGGACATTTACATTGTTACAGCAGAAAAGAGCCAAAGACAGCTTAAGGTTACCTAAGAAGCATGCTTAAAAAAGTATTAAAGATAAAAACAATTATAAAAAAAGTGACACAATTGACAAAATACACATCCTATAACAGTTCTGAAGTCGATTTAGGAGCCAGGTATATATTGCACAGTTATTAACGGCATATATATATATTGCACATATTGCACATAGTTGGTTGGTATTTAACAACAGGGGGTGTTACTGGTGAATGTACTCGCCCTGTACCAAGAGGACACAGATGGGTAAATGTTGCATGTATCGCCCTGTTGCTCCTGTGGAAGCGTCACCCTGTCAGATATCACCCCCTACTCTTCCTCTCTCTCCTCTCTCAGGTGCCAAGCCCCTCCACTGCTTTAGAACCCATCACTGGCTGGTGAACACGGTACAGAGGTCGCCCTTCTACAAAGACATTATTTTGACAATGGGAAGCTGGAACTTCGCCATCTGGAAGGAGGGAGTCATGGTAACAACACCTGTCGCCTCAACTACAGTAGCAGAAAATGTTGCAACCAGTTCAAATCATAACCTCTTACTTGATTTAATTGGGAAAAAATGGAATCATCACTAAATATGAAAGTTATTCCAGCCTTTTAACCCATAGTATTCATCAATCCATCACTTAAAAACATGGTTCACTGAGAACTACAGTACACCTGCACACACTAGTCTGTGTTGGATATGGCGTGTGTGTTACATGTTGTGATCGTGGATGTTGTCCCTCGTTTCTGCTATGTGATTGTGATGTGCTATATGTGACATGTATGTAGTAACGTGTGTTGTTTGCATTTTATTGTTCTCTTTTATCCTTCCGCCTCTATCTACTTGTCTTTCATCCTTTCTTTATAACTAATGCTGTTGATGTGTTGTGATTTAAAAAAGGTGTCTATTATCATCTGGCCGGGGACAACAGCTGATATTAGCAATGTTGGCTAAAGCTGCCCCATTTACTGTTTTTTGTGACAGTTGATCAATGGGGACTGTCCAGGACACTATAAGCAAATACACTAAACTAAATCATATCATGATGTAAAGAAAGTATATCTTTTTAAAATTATAACACAACAGGTTAATTGCATTTTAAACCTACTAACTCTTGTTTTCTCCGACATCCAGGAAGGCCCCATCGTCACGTCCCCGAGCTCTGAGCAGGTGTGCACAGCTGGATGTTGGTCCCCGTCCCGGCCAGCTGTTTTCTTCATCGGGAAAGATGACGGCAGCATCGAGGTGTGGAACCTGCTGGAGAAGACCGGTGAACCTTTGCAGGTCCACGCTCACATCACTGATGCCAAGATCACCTGCATCAAACCCTGGACCGCCTCCTGTGAGTCCTCCGCCTCCTTCAACACAGGAGTTAGCATATGTGTCAATGCGAGAATACTATTTCAACCTAAATGGCAATAAAGGGTGGTGAATTGAGTGCGCTGCTACAAATGCAAAACATATATCGATTTCTCTTTTTGTCTTTCCCCCTGCTATTCAGAGTGCTTTACATGTGACTGACAAGCTTATAAGACGGTGCAAATAAAAACAATAGAACAATTTGAGACTACTGCACATGAGAGAAAGAAATCAGAAAATAGAAAATATTCAATTATCTTAAATGCAATGACATATACAATTTGGAATATGAGGGAGTAAAACACAAATACAATCAATTAAATGAATAAATCTAATAAACAATGTGAAATCTCATAAACTCTGCTGTTCACCCCGCTATGCTGCTCAGATACAGACGGTCTCCTCCTGCCTCTCTGTCTGTTTCATTTATGTTTTCATAGCCTTGGTTCCTTAAGATAGTTTGAGCCATAGAGTTTATTGACTCTATTTCTTTTTCTTAGCCAAGCAGCACTTCCTGGCGGTGACTGACGACCTTGGGATGGTTCGTGTTTTGGAAATCCCAAAGACCCTCTACGCTCCGTCCAGGAGTGAGGTAAGACAGTCCAACCACCTCCTACTCACTGTAAAAAACACTTTTAGGCTGTCTATTTCATTATTATGTTGGGATAATAATGCACCATTGTTCAAGGCCAAAATGGAGATAACGAATCCAGCTCTGCAACATACTGTGTCAAAACAATGAATTATTAATGAGCCGACAATAGATTCAGTGAAGACATGCAGGTTCAATGGTCACCAAACTGAGCTGTGCCTTTCTTTTTGTGCAGAATTTGAGTGTGAAGAAGTACTTCAAGCTGGAGGAGGACAGGTTAAAGGATTTTATGAAGAGGGATGAGCTGTGGGCGAAACAGAAGAAGGAAGCAGAGGAGCTCAAGAAGAAAATGGTGAGTTTGGTTGTTTTAGTAGCCTTGAGTTCTACCTCCCCAGCTACACCGTGACCTCACTGACAGCCGCTCTGAATGTACACTGAGCTTTCAGAGGCTTCCTCAATTCAAAGTGTATCCACAAATTGAAAGTTGATGCTGAAAGAGCTTGAGGCCATCTCTCTGTCACTCTCCTATTCTCTTTCTCTCTCCCTCCCCTCATGTTTAATTCAGTCTGATCGTTATTTGATCCTGGGCCCCGGGGAGAGAAAAGTTACTGACAGTGACAGTCTGTCTGCTAACCATAGAAGATACATCTTTTAGTGGCAAAAGGTTCTTATCTTTGACTGAACAAAGGTGAAGTTTGGTGATAATTCATCACTCACTGTTAAGGAAAGTAAAAAGAAAAACATTAAGGAAAATAAGCTGAAACATTTTGCATTATACTGTAAGACAGTATTTCGATTTTACCTCAGCTAATTAACAACTTCCTAAGGACACATTTAAAAGAAATATATTATTACTCATGTGATCAATCTAAATTTAAAGACCAATATTTTAAGTGTTTTGTGAAGCCTTTACTTTTTCACATTAAGGAAAAAGTAAATTTCTCAGGAAATGTCAATATTTGCATTACTTAATAACAAAAACAAGAATGCAAGTCAAAACCATTTAGCAAAACTCTGTTTACAACAAGTTAGCTAGTTACTTTCTTTACATTTTTCAGCTTCAAAGACAATTAAATGTCAGACCTTTTGTAAGAAGTGTACCATTTGCTACATAGTGTTCATGACTGTAATTCTTTTTCCAGGATCCTGTCAAGCCGGTCAAATCTCTGACAGAGAATGACGAGGAGAACATGAAGGAGTATAATGTTCACCTGGAGGTGGAGGAGAGCGTCCTGAAGGGCCTGGGCCTGTGGACCGCTCCTGCCGACACGGAAGATACATGATATCCCACGCATTTACACACATCTGCACGGACTGCATTTATACAGAAACATGGTTTATTGTTTTAATTTATATCTTCATCAAAATTGTTTACCTAAACAGATTCTTGTAATATTAAAAACATTTGCAGTTTGTATCAGGAATGTCTTTGTCTGTATCTTTTATTCAGTTTTCACAGTATTTGCAACCTGTACTATTTGTATTGAAATATGATCTATTTGAAAACTATGAGGGCAGTGAACATAAAATAGATTCTTCCATTGACATTCAGAATCTTTTCTGGGTTGGTACTTCAGAGTCAAACATGGATTTGTTTTCCTCCACCCTTCTAAGATCTAGTTACTGGGTAATGCCATCCATTTGCCCGTTCTTCACCAACGCTCCCCGGGGATACAGTCTGGAATATCTCAAGGATCTGACCTTGACAGGAAGTCGTTTTATGGCTCTTTAATTTCATGATTTTTATCTGTTGTTGTTGAAAACTCCTCTAGTGTCAAATTAATTTGGCACAAGGTCATCTTATGTTGTATTAAGAAGGAATTTAAAGTCACAGACCACAACCCTTATTGCATACAGACTCATCCCGAATCATAACCTAAAAATAACCCTCTGGAGGCTCAGTTCTACAGTTTGTGTCTTCACTCAGTCAACAGTTCACACCGGAGTACTTTGGTGTACTTTTCCCACAATAGTTCATCAGAACTACGATATATTTGCGTTCACACCAAAAAGCCCCAGGAACTAAAGTAGCTCATTTACTCGGAGGACGCGAAGCGCTGCATTCAGAAGCTTCTACTGAATGCAGTTTCCGTCGCTCTGCAAAGTTAGCAGACCTGGCAAAGTCATGTCGGGACGACTACCAAGGTAAAATAAAATACATGCACTGCACTGTTTTAATCTGCACAATACTGGTCTTAGATGTACTTTTATTTGCTCAGTAGATCGAGCTAGCCATGCTAGAACTTGCTAACGTTAGGTCCAAGCAGGCTAACAACATCTAGCTAGCTAACTATTCTCAGCCATGCCCGCTATGAACACGTTTTGACTTGTGAATAAGTGTACAATGTTCTGTAATTTGCTTCACTAACTCATGGCACTAATCGTGTGTTTCAGGCGAGGTGTTTCTCTCAGGATTAGAAACTAGTTTTCCCCTCCGAGATAAAACGATAATATAACGTTAGCAATTAGCATGCTAGCTGGACATAATGCTACCTCTGTATTATTACCTCTAACAATACATTAGTTGCTATAATTTCAAGTAATTTGCAACATTCATTCTATTTGTTAATGGTAAAAGCTTAAACAGTTGATTACCTGCATGCCACAAAGACTGATGTTCTAATATTTTTGCACATTTAAGTAGAAATGTAATTGAAATTCTATTTTTTCCTTTTTTTTATTGATTGTTATAATTGTACTCAGCCATGTTATGTTAGATGTCAATCCACTTACACTGTAACTACTCTGGCCTTGAAAGAAGAAGAAGGTGATATAACTATTAATAAGTAAAAGTAAATCGAAATATGTATTGCATCACCGCTGCTTAGAGTTCATGCACAAGTCATTTGCTTGATAATGAATTGATGCATTGTAGCAATAATTGTAGTCAATATCAAAGAGAGATGTAATTTCGATATTTCAGTCCAAGCTTGATTGGCCCAGCTACCTCAGTATATGTGATGTATAAATAAAAGGATTACATGAAAACGGTTTGATCTTCTATCTCAGAGTAAACTGGACTATTAATCAACATTTTGCCTCGTTGTTGCGATTAAACTGATCTTGTATCTTGCATATTTCACCTTAGGAAAGTGGGCACGCGATGACAGCTTCCTTGACACCATCATGGCGATGGACCGCCGTGCCATGGTCAGCAAGGAGAATGAGGACCTGCGTGCCAAGGAGATGCACGACAAACGGCTGCTGCATTCACACAAGGCCCAGGAATCGAGGTGGAGCAACAAAATACCTTTCAGGCTGGGCTTCTGGCAGTGCTAAGCGAGCTGATTAAATCCAACAGGCCTTCAATACAAAAATTAAGAAAAACTTGTCGTTGATAAACTGTACAATGACTTGTTGGGAGGCGTGTGGTGCAGTGGTCTGGTGCGTTGGTGTTCGGATCAGGGAAGCACAGGTTCAAACCCCACTGCAGTCAGGATGTCGTTGTGTCCCTGGGCAAGACACTTCACCCCAAATTGCCTACACCTGGGACAGTTCATTTTGTATTATTGTGATTATATATATATGCCACTGTTATTAATACTGACACCTAACTTTGCACTAAGGTGTGTCTGCTGCTGAGCCTACCTATTGTTTATATATATATATATATATATATATATATATATATATATATATATATATATATATATATATATATATATATATATATATATATATATATATATATATATATATAACAATATAATAACAGTGGCAATATATATATATATATATATATATATATATATATATATATTGCCACTGTTATTATATTGTTATTATATTGTTTTGATACTACTGACACTTATTGATCTGCTGCTGATAAATAAAAGAGAACCTACATGCACGGCACTAGCATCATGACTGTCTTTGTTTAAACCAGCAGCAGTGCAGCGGTACACAGACTAACCTGTGTGTGTGTAACGTAGTTCTTAAGGTGTGTATGCTTAACATGTATGTTAACATGTATGTATACAAAAGTTTTTAAAGAGCTTTCAACCTCATCCCATTGTCTTTAACACACATTTAACATAATAATATACTCATTAATATACAAATATACAGTATGAGTACTGTTTTGATACTGACATTTAATCTTTGCACTAAGGTGTGTCTGCACTATTGTAATTGTGTCTGTTGACTGGTAAATAAAAGAGAGAACCAAATGCACTGTACAAAAGATCAGCTTTATTGTCAATTTACAATTTCCATGCTGTTCAGATGCCTCTCCCCAACGTTGCTTCCAGGCGAATACAGAGGAGTTGAAAAGAGCCCTTGGACATTCGGAAATCTTCGATCCACTGCACATGTTGGCACCACCTCCCATCAGGCCGACGTTCTATTGTTCACCCAGAGTTCCGTAGTATTCGCATATCTGGAACACATACAAAGACACAAATTAGCCCTACATAACTCCATAAATCCTATATTAGATAGTATTAATGTGATTTAATGAACGTACCATTGCTGTTCTTTGGGCGTGATAACGGCCATCATCCTCAGCTGTCCTCCGGCGAAACATGTCCATAGCGTGTGCTTTCGTCGTCCAATCCTTTTGTTAAGGCTTCTTAACCGCCTTCGCCTCCGACTCAGCATTTCTATTGCATTTGAATGGTCGATCTGTATTTGTATTTGTGGCTGAGTTATTGGCTTAAATAACTCAGTTACGAAGCTGTATAACACGACCACCAAAACGTCAACTCCATACCGTGTCTGAGGTCGGAAGGTAAACAGAAGCATACAGCGGAAGCGGAAGTTTTTTTTCTTCTTCTTCTCTCGGTTTTTGGGCGAATTGCAACTTTAAGGTGCATACCGCCACCTACTGTACTCGCCGTGAAGTTGTTTGCGGCCTGCCAGTAAACCCAAAGCAGAAGAAGAAGAAGTGACGTCAGCGGCTCATTTGCCTAATCCACCCCCAGGAACTCATTTTGGTGTGAACGCGATCTGCCTTAGTTCATCAGAACTAAAGGAGCTCTCATGAACTAAAGTTCTCATGAACTACTGTGGGAAAAGTACTTGGTGTGAACGCCCCTGAACGTGCTGCAGTGGGCCTGGCTGGATTGTAAAAGTAATAAGCAAGAAAATACCAAAAGATTCTGTAAATTATCCATTATTTTCTTATTCAGAAAACCATGACTTGAACACATTGTTAAAGCTGCACTAGTCAGTATTTTGACATAAACAATGGATGTAATCACTCTGTGTCAAATGACTTATTTGGAACTACACACCCACAGAGGATTTGTATCTGACTCTGCAGCTGCCATTTAGTTTCTTTTAGCTAATATTTACATATTTTACAGGCCACTTTTTTGTACAACGTCACTGTTTGGTTCGTCACAAGTCTGACCTGGCATATTTTCAGTCACAGCAGATGGAGGTCTCTATTAACAGAATAGACAATAAGCTCTCTACACTACCGGCTCAGCAACCAGTTCCTGACGGACTCGTTTAGAAAGTGCAAATGAAAGCTGTTCTGTATCTGCTTAATATTTGCTGATATGTTCAGCATAACAACTTGAAAATATGATAGATTGTGTTGTTGCCCTTGTAACGTCATCATCTAAACACTGGTCACAAGTATCTCGTAGATGTGAAGATGTCTGCATCATTCCTTGAAGTGTATCCATATTACATTTATGGATTGTTGTCTTATATATGTTTTCATTTTTAGAATCAGTAGCTGCAGCTGCTTATTCAATATGGTGCTGCCCAACCCCTTGTTAGGCTTGGCTGTTCTGACATTACAGGGTGCTGCATCTGAACGAGTGGCCCTAACATTTGCAGTGGATTGCTGTTCAAATGACACTAGCTCAGCATCTGGAAAAACGGTGGTGTCATTCATTTCAGTTCTCACCAAAACATTTAATTATTTTCTCTTTATGAATTAGTTTCCAACACTTCTGAGGACGCTGTTTCACTGCTGTGTGTCGCAACAACTACCTCTCCAGCCCTCTGTACTCTATTAGTTTCGCTCCTTCATCTGAGTCCACCTCAGGTCAAGAGCAGCTCACCAAACCTATAGGCACTACTGACAGTCGGTGACCTGCCAGAAAGGAGAGTGGAGGGACACAGAGACGGGGGTCCGTGCATAATATTGGGCAGCTGTCTATTGCCAGGTTTTCACACTGCGTCCGAGATGCCTCCGAAGGAAAGAGAGAGGATTGCGATAAACAACAGCAATTTAAATCGTTGAATGACGGGCGAGAGAGAACAGCTGATTCCTCTCAAGAGAAGTGAGCTGGGGTCGACTTCAATCTGGCCATGACCCATCCACGAGGACGGTCCTGTCACGGAGCAGAGGGGGTGGAGGATGGGGAAGAATGG